CCTTAACTTTTTTATTGTAGTGTGGTCAACTTCTCCTATACATTTCTCTACAGTAGTATTTAACGGGTGCTGCAGAGGTCTCTATAGAGTAGTTTGTTTGTTGAATGCTAACAGCTGAACTGCAATATCCAGAAAGGTTTGCTTTACAGCCTTTCTGGGTAACAAGGCTATAAGTGTCAGAACTTAACCAGCGGCTTTGCCGCGATCTGACACTTCCGGGTTCACAGTCTATTGACACGCCTCCTCTGACATGGTTTCCTCACGCTACTTAGAGGAACTGTGCCAGATTCAAAGGGCTTGATTATTTTGAAGCTTCCTGATCAATCAGACTGGCTACAAACAAGCTCTCTCTTTCTACAAATGACGTGTACCGAACCTGGATTGTTGTAACCGCTGATCTCCATTCTCCTTCCAATTGACTCGGATTATCTTTGGATTCTCTCTGCTTCGTAAATCAAATTGTCATAAATGCAAGTTATATTGTTGGATGATTACCTTTCCATTGGCACTTCAGTTTTCACTACGTGTCTTCATACTGAGATTAATTTGAAGTTATAATTGTATTTACTACATGAACTTATTCACATGGATTTGTCTTATGAACTTTCCATATGAAAATAAGTCACTAAATTTATACTCATGTTCCTTAAAGCTACAGGAACTCTCTCATGAACCTATCTCCATATTGTGTTCCTTAAAGCTACAGCAACTTTCTCATCAAACTATCTCCATATTGTGTTCCTTAAAGCTACAGGAACTTTCTCATCAAACTATCTCCATATTGTGTTCCTTAAAGCTACTGGAACTTCCTCATCAAACTATCTCCATATTGTGTTCTTTAAAGCTACAGGAACTTTCTCATCAAACTATCTCAATATTGTGTTCCTTAAAGCTACAGGAACTTTCTCATCAAACTATCTCCATATTGTGTTCCTTAAAGCTACTGGAACTTTCTCATCAAACTATCTCCATATTGTGTTCCTTAAAGCTACAGGAACTTTCTCATCAAACTATCTCCATATTGTGTTCTTTAAAGCTACAGGAACTCTCTCATCAAACTATCTTCATATTGTATTCCTTAAAGCTACAGGAACTCATCGCATTCCTACATCTGCATGTCTCGTTCCTTAAAGCTACAGCAACTCTTCTCATCAAACTACATCTATATTGTATTCCTTAAAGCTACAGGAACTCTTCTCATCCAACTATCTTCATATTGTTCCCTTAAAGCTACAGGAACTATTCTCTTCAAACTTTCTACATATCGTGTTCCTTAAGACTACAGGAACCTTGGTCATCGAACTCAAATTATCTTCATTTTGTGTTCTTCACATTACTGGGACTGTTTTCATCAATCCACTATTAAATAAACCTTATTTAAGAATTATTCTATTTCTCCTAATTATCCTATTAAAACCTAAGGGTTCTCCTAATTATAATTCTGCCGTTGAGTTCCACTCCATATCCATAGGAAGTGTTACATAAGTATTACAATAAGTGATGACATCACATACAACTTTATTATTGGATTAAAAAATAGAAACTGCAGGATAACTGTAACCTAATCCAGACATGGATCAAAATATTTGGGTACTTAGGGTGACCATTTAGAACAAACCTTTAACATTTTATCCAAAATAGAAGATTTGGGGGGAGAGAAATCTTCAATTAATTGTCTAAATTATTGACATTTTAGTAATGTTGCAACTCAATATTCAACTAAAATTAATTTTTTAAAGAAATACTTCGAGATGCCACTAAAATACATATTGATACAAAGCTCATAGTTTATTACAAGAATTCCGATTAGAGTCTTGTGATGTATTGTGTGACGAATGGAAAGATAAATGTACCTATTGAGCTATTTCAATTAAATTGACTTAAATAGGTAATAATGTGTAATGTTTAACAGCTCCGGTCATATAAGTTGAGTGTTTTAAAGGCATAAAAAATTCTGGGACAAAGACAAATTATGCTCCTCATCCCTGAATATAATTGCTGCTTGTACATCACAGTAAGTATGATGAAGATTCATTTGGCATGCATGGCAGTATTCAGCATAAATAATGAAATAAATCTGAAAGTATTTATTTCAGCATTCAATATAGATGAACTAACTGTGGCATGATAGGCAAGATCATCCTACCCGAAGAAGACGATTCTGTAAGCTGCAATATAAAGTCTACATATTGTAAGGTAGAGGTTTACCATTATAATTACAGACCTCTGTAAGCTTGTTTGAACGAGGTCTTCTTCATCTCTTCCCCTTTCTGTGATTGTAAAGTGCTGCGGAATATGTTGGCGCTACGTAAATTATAATAATTATAATAATAACAAACTAGCCAAAAGACATTTTGGTTATGCGTTAGCAGAGAAGTACAATACCAAACAGAGAGAGAGCGATAATGATGAAACCTGCTTGCTGGTCCGTATTAATGGCATTCTGTATACAGAAGATGCATACAAATTGTGTTATTAATATTCATGTATATATCTGACATCATTTTACATAGCGATAAAAAAAAAGTCACAACAAACAAGTCAAGGTGAAGGCCAAGAGGGCTCTACTAAAAACATGCCTACAATATACAAGATTTAGGTATCAATTTTTAGATTTATTCCATTTTATAATTCTGAATTCTATCATACATGACTCTGGGGTTAAAAGGAAACATTATAATATTAGCATAATTGTTCAGTGTCAAAATTAAATTAAAAAGGAGCAATGAACACACAATCACGTCAGCCTGTATGCTTACACTGTACAGGAAATCGTCAACATTTTCCAAAATGTTTTAAATAAACAATACATTTTATGGTTCCTTTCTTTCTCCGTCCCTAGAACCGATATTCTCCCCTCCTTCTGCCAGGGTTGAAGTTATTTTATATTCAAAGTGGGAACATTTGTTGTTTGTTTTTTCCAGCCCATGTTTTAGGAGACAAATTGAATATTGAATATTGAAATTGAGGGGGGAACTCTTGGTCCAGGTCAGCGTCAGTGTAAGAGCTGTGATTATTTATCCAGTCACATGTCAGACTCGTGCAGCAAAGGTAAGGTAAATGTGTTGGTGAAGTTAAAACTTAGGTTGAACACAACCCAGCAGAAACAAGGGGTAACCAGAACACACACACACACACACAAGAACAAAAACAGTCAGGAAGACATCAACACGGGCCACAACCGGCTATTCCATATAAAACGAACCAGGGAATCTTGTCAACGAGATTGTATGGCTCATGTACGTCCTGTTTGTTTACTCGACGTGCCCACGGCTAAACCACTTTCTGTTTCTGTCCCTTCTGTATATGCAGACCTTGCATTGGTTTTTGAAAAAAGGGAGGCAGAAAAGCTACCTACGCATCGTGACTATAACTGTGCCATAAACCTGTTACCGGGTACTATGCCCCCTAGGGGTAAGGTCTACCCTCTTTCTGAGAAAGAAAACCAGGTCATGGAGGAGTACATACGGGAATCCTTAAGGAAAGGTTTTATTAGAAGGTCCTCCTCTCCTGCTGGTGCTGGTTTCTTTTTTGTGGCAAAGAAGGAGGGCGATTTGAGGCCATGTATAGATTATAGGGCTCTGAACAATATAACGATTAAAAATGCCTACCCTATCCCCCTCATCACTGAGTTGTTTGATCGTGTTAAAGGTTCTAAGTACTTTACTAAATTAGACCTCAGGGGGGCTTATAACCTTATCCGTATAAAGGAGAATGATGAGTGGAAGACAGCGTTCAATACGCGTAGTGGGCATTACGAATACCTGGTCATGCCTTTTGGACTGTGTAATGCTCCTGCTGTGTTTCAGGATCTCATAAATGATGTCCTTAGGGATCTATTGCATGTCTGTGCCGTGGTGTACCTTGACGACATACTTGTATATTCTCCTGATTTGAAGACACATCATAATCATGTTAGGATGGTGCTTAAAAAGTTATTACAGAACGGACTTTATTGTAAGTTAGAAAAATGTTTGTTCGATCAGACCTCTGTGCAATTCCTGGGATATATATAAAATCTGAACAGGGCTTTAGTATGGATCTTGCTAAATTGGAAGCTATACTGTCCTGGTCACTTCCCCAAGGACTTAAGGCTATCCAGCGTTTTATAGGTTTTGCTAACTATTATAGGAAATTTATAAAAAACTTTTCACCACTTATCTCCCCTATCACGAAGCTGACTAAAAAAGGTCTACACCCTAGGGTTTGGACTCCTGAAGCCCTTAAGGCCTTCGAAACTCTCAAGAAAGCATTTGCCTCTGCTCCAGTACTACACCACCCTAATCCTTCTCTTCCCTTTGTTATGGAAGTAGACGCTTCTGAATCGGGGGTGGGAGCAGTCCTGTCACAGAGGTCATCGTACGACGAACCCCTCCATCCCTGTTGTTACTTTTCAAATAGGTTGTCTGATCCAGAAAAGAATTACGATGTTGGGAACAGGGAACTATTAGCTATTGTGTTAGCTTTTAAGGAATCAAGGTACTTATTAGAGGGTTCTAGACACAAAATTATGGTTATAACAGATCATAAGAACCTCTCCTATATAGCTGATGCTAGAAGGTTGTCCGCCCGACAGGCTAGATGGTCTCTATTCCTTTCGCGCTTCCAATACATTATTACCTATAGACCTGGTTGCCGTAATGCCAAAGCTGACACTATCTCTCGACAGTATGAACCTTTAGAATTTGTTAACCCGACTCCTGAACCTATTGTACCTGCGTCTCAGATAATAGCTGCTACCCGTTTGGTTGTTTCATCTCCTTTCCTTGAGAATATTAAGACATACCAAACCCAAGCACCCCCTGAGACGCCTGTTGGTAAACTATATGTGAAAGTTAATGACAGAAAAAAGTTGTTAACTTTATTTCACACCGCCAAAACTGCTGGTCATCCGGGGGTTACCAAGACTTATAAGAGCCTCCTTCAACAGTTCTGGTGGCCTTCACTCAAGCGAGACGTAGTGGATTTTGTTCAGGCTTGTCGGGTCTGTACGCAGTGTAAGTCTCCTAATATGAGACCCCAGGGTCTATTGATGCCTCTATCTGTACCCAAGAAACCATGGACCCACTTGTCCATGGATTTTATTGTAGACCTTCCTCCTTCTGATGGTCAGACGGTGATATTGACTGTGACGGATAGGTTCTCTAAGATGGCACACTTTATTCCGCTTAAGAAACTGCCTTCTGCTATTCAGCTTGCTCAGGTGTTTGCCAGGGAAGTGTTCCGCTTGCATGGGGTACCTCAGGATATTGTTTCTGACAGGGGCCCTCAATTTGTCTCTCGGTTTTGGAGGGGCTTTTGTGCTGAGATGGGGGTCTCCTTGTCATTCACTTCCTCCTATCACCCGCAATCTAATGGTGCAGCCGAACGTGTTAATCAGTCTGTGGAATTGTATTGGCGCTGCTTCACTAATGCGCACCAGGACGACTGGTCTCACCTTCTTCCGTGGGCTGAATTTGCCAGGAATACGGTGTCTCATTCGTCTACTGGCTTAAGTCCTTTTGAGGTTGCTTATGGGTTTCGGCCTTCTGTCCTTCCCGGTGCGTTCTCTGACAAGGGAATGCCTGCCTTGGACCAGCACCTCGCCTCTTTGCGGAAGACATGGGATCAGGTCCATATTGCGCTGTCTCGTTCAGCAGCTGCTCAAAAGAAGTTCGCTGATCGCCGTATGGGGTGCAGCCCCTTCTTATGCTCCGGGTGATAGGGTGTGGTTGTCCTCCAGGAACCTCCGTCTCAGGGTTCCCTCGATGAAGTTTGCTCCCAGGTTTCTTGGTCCCTACAAAGTGTGGCGTAGGATTAACCCCGTTTCCTACTCCCTGGGCTTGCCTCCTTCCATGCGTATTCCGCACACGTTTCACGTTTCGCTTTTGAAGCCCTTGCTGTGTAACCAGTTCTCTCGTCCCCTCGGATGGCCCGTTTCCCCTCGCACTGTCTCTAGTGATGTGTACGAAGTGGCTGCCCTCCTCGACTCTCGTGTTTCTAGGGGTCGGCTGCAATACCTGCTGGATTGGAAGGGTTACAGCCCTGAGGAGCGGTCTTGGGTTTCGAGCTCTGATTTGCACGCCCCCTCTTTGGTCCGCTCCTTTCATGCCCGATTTCCTTTGAAGCCTCCTGCTTCCCGCCCTCCGGGCAGTCTTCGAGGGGGGGTACTGTCAGGGTCCGCGGGCGGCTGGGAGGGAAGGTTGCAGTCCGCTCGCGGCACTCACCCTCCAGCCGTCCGCAGTCCCCTTCCTGGCGTGCGCTCGGCGGGCGGCATCCGCCCAGCCACAGATGCCGCCCGTGTCTTCCTCTGTGTCCCCCAGCGGCAGCATGCATGATGCTGCACGCTGGGAGGTCAATGAATTATGTAAAGTGCCTCAATCACAGTGGGAGGTTTAGATATCTCCCACGTGTGATTCTTAATTCTGATTGGAAATTATCCAATCAGAATTAACCTATGGATTTAAATACTTACCTTTCCTGTTACTCTCCTCCCTGTTGTGGTCTTTACTTGCTAGTATTACTTCTGAACTTGTGTTTCTGGTTACGTACTCTCTGGCTTGTTTATCCGACTTTGTGACTTTCTCCTACCCTTTGACCTCGGCTTATCTATCGTTATTCTGTCTTCTGGTTCCCCTTTACTTGGCTTGTTTCCTGACTATTCTTTGTGTGCTTAGCCCGGCCAATCTAAGGTCCGGTACTGCACTTTGTGTGTGTGTGTGTGTGTGTTGGTGTGTTTGGTTCCCCGAATCATGACAGGCTAAGCTCGAATGAACGCATTGTTTGAATTAGTCAGTACTGCAAAACATGTAATAAAAATGAACCCACAAGTTTTCGTTCCTATACTCCCACCCCAAACAACAAAACCGACAATTATTGCATAACACAAACCAACACGGATACACCACCACGCAAAAGGCTCATATAGATCAACTCATTCCCGAACCCACATAGATGCACCAACATAAGGAGAATCTGAACTAAAATGAAGACACAAGGTAAAATGTATGTGATTGTACCCAACCCCCCACCCCTCTTTTTTCAGTAGCCCACCCAAACCCAATGAAAATGCAGACAGACATGCAAAACGGATAAAGCTTGGTTATATGCTACAATAGAATATGTTAGCCCTGTAAAACGTGTATTAAAACTGAACTCACAATTTTTCCTTTCTGTACCCCCACCCCAAACAAAAAACAAAGCTTCCAAAAATAAAGAATTTATAAAAAAAACTTAGGTTGAACATGGGTTGTGCTAATTTGGGTGGTGATATTCTGTTAAAGGGTAGAGGGTTCACTCCAACAGCAAATTCACACAAGCAGATAATGATGCCCTAATCATAACATCGCAAAGTGTCCCTGATCCGTTATGATAGAAACAAGACCAAGGGTCGAGTCTACAGAACCTTGAATAGGCATTACCTCCCCAATTCGTTGCGAATTCTTTACTGGATTACGTTCCATTACAGCTGTAGATCCCAAAATTGTGTGTTACCTGTCATTTAAGATGTTGGCACATGCACACACATAGACACTAACACAAAGTTACAGTAACAGGACAGATATATCTGAGGCTGTCTGTGATGGATAGTAGGCTAATACCCAATCTGCATCTATTTATGCAAACAATTGTTGATGTATAATCTAGATGGCACAATATCTAATTATATGTTTTCACTAGTGTCTATTACTATTTCTATCTACGTTGACAAACGACAGGAGATTCTACAGGGATAAAACCATTTTAGGACATTATAGTTTAGTATTATTAGAACTGGTGAAAGTGTAACATATTAATTAGATTTATGTTATATTAAATCAGTCTCACTCTTAATAAGTGGCTCAATGGAATACTGGATACATTTTCTTGATGGTGATTAAGAATGAAATAATATGCTACAGTTAAGATTCAGAAATCACATGGAAAACACTAGCAGATGGGATAACCACACAGCCACTTACTATATAAATTACTAAATCGAAATTACTGCTAAGAGTTTGATATTTTTGACTAGTTACTGAAGATGGGTGACTTTTTTTTATATAATGAAAACACATTTCTCTAAAAAAAAATTAGATAAAAATAAAGGGGTCTTCAGCAGCCAGTTAAACCATGAAATCATCATGGTTTAACTGATTGCTGAAGACCCCTTTAATTGTATCTAATACTTTCAAACGCCCTCTGTTGAGTGATGCATAATACAGAGCGCCTTCCCATTTGTTTTCATCTACATATCCCTTGTATAGAACTCACTACCTTACATATATAAATGAATGCATACACACACTGAACAAAATTATAAATGCAACATTTTTGTTTTTGCCCCCATTTTTCATGAACTGAACTCAAAGATCTAATTGCAGACATTGTGATTAATGATTAATAAGTATGAATCAAAGAAATATGCAGGATTAACATGAGAATCTAAAAATTAATTTAAAAGAAATGTGATTGACAAACATAAAAGGAACACTCTACTGTTGAAATACAAAAACATATATATAAAATACTGTTAGTAGATATACCACCAAGAAAATCATGGATGCATATCATTGTGCATTTTTTCATTAGGGTATCTAAAAACAGCTTGCAAAAGCTCTAGATCTCTTGTCTGCAGTCTTTTTAACCTTTCCCCTTCTAACTCCACCCAGACTTTCTGTGGCTGTCCAATCACAGACTTCTCAAAGCAGTTCAATGAGGACTATTTGCAAGGCAAGTTCTCTGTCTCTTCATTTTAGCTCCAATGAGCTAACCAAATCAGGAAGTAGCAGGAATAGTTGTCAGAGTGACATCCATATAATTCATAAAAGTGATATATCTCTTCAGCTAAAGTGCTTTAGGTGCTTGGAGTGTCCCTTTAAAATTTAAGGGACACTATAGTCACCAGAACTACTACAGCTTAATGTAGGTTTTCTGGTGTCTATAGTCTGTACCTGCTGAGAAAAGGCAGTATTTACATTGCTACCTAGTAAAACCTCTACCGGTAGTCACTCAGACTGCCACTAGAGGTGCTTCTTAACTCAGTGCTGCACAGTGTCCAGCACCTACATTCCGAGTCTTCACGCTCTGCATGGAGATGCTGAATACTCCCCATAGGGGACAATAGTCTCCCAATGCTTTGCTATGAGAAAGTATTGGATTGGCTGAGATCATCAAGATTGATTATCTCAGCTATGGAGGCGGAGCCATCCACGACAAGACTGGAGAAGCTAGGAAGAAAAGGTGAGTAAAATACCTGCAATCTGAGGGGAGCCGAGACCTAACCATCCACTTCAGGACTATAGTGTTAGTAATACATGTTTGTATTCCTTTAGGAACTATAAAGGAACTATAGCGTTCCTTTTAGAATAACGGCAGGTACTCATGGGAAGGTACAGATGCTGACTCACTGATACAATTAACTGTACCAGTTGTGTTACACTATGACATGATTGTTATCCTAGTATATCTTCTATGACCTCCATATTTTGTTCCATTTTCCAAATAGCTACATTTTGGAAAATGAAATATTTCCTACCTCTAAATATGTATCTACTTTCTTATAAAATGGAACTGATGGCTTCTTCTTTCATCTCACTCCTGTATTTATTCTTTGTTATTGGTATGACTAATGTTACGTTTTAAATTTCTTCCTTAGGATTCATGTGAAGTATTGTCACATTAGCTAAAAGAGACATTTTCTTCTTGATGGTTTTTGAAAATCCTTTTGATATTGTGTGAAAAAGGCGATTTTAATTCAGAGTCATCGAATGTGTTTTAATAAGCCAATTCTTTGGCAGTTTCTCTATCATTCATTTGGTCGGTATTAAATGACTTTTTTCTATTGTTGGGTACATTTTCTTAGTTGAAGATGAAAAAATACATTCTCTATTGAAGTAATTTTTTATTTGATACCAACTATTCACATTCTTTATTTCTTCTAGATCCCTTTCAATTAACTTAAAGGACCACTAAAGTCACCCAGACCACATCATCTCAATCACGTAAAGCATTGCCGTTTTATAGAAAGGCATGTTGTCATCTTTGAAGGCGGAGTGGGCGGCTGCAGCAGTGGAGTCCAGGTGCTGGAACTGAGGTAAAAAAATCTTTGTTAATTAATTTTTTTTAATAGCAAAGGGGTTGGTCAAAGGGGGTGGACAGAAGGGAACCTATATGCAAAGAAAGCTTACTATAGACTTAATTAGGGTCAAAATGTTGCTGAGTTTCTCCAATAAATCTGAGTACTATTCCATCCTGAGTGTCTGGACCATC